TGATTTGAAGACCAAGCGTGTTTAGCGATGTTGGAACCTCTTGCGTAAGACATCACATTCCTCATGTGTTCTTTTTTTCTCGTTTCAAAGCATCTGCCGGTCTCGCCTACATAACTTCATGGGCAGTCGGCACAAAATAGTTTATAAACCACATTTGGTTGAAGTTCAGTCGGAGGTCGAGATTTAGGAGAAGGAAACTCCTGTTGTAATGTCTTGACTGGCTTGCTGACAACTCGAATATCCTGTTTTTGAAGAAGTCTATTTAGAGGCTGAGAAATTCCATTAATGTAGGGGAGGATAATAGTTCCTCTATTTTTAAACGGTCTTTCGTGTTTGATATATTACTTCGTAACGACACTTGAACCCTAGGACTCTGAGTAAACGTCATTCCTTCTTTGTTTTAATGTGTTTAAGTATTGTATTGTAACTGATCATTGTCACCGAAATCTTTTTAGATGACGAGGGTCAGATCGAAGCCTTCAAGCATCCTTAACTGAAGAGGGACGTAGAGAAATAAAGCAAATAAGGTAACCATGCACTTACTAGTTGGACGGCAAGAAATAAAACCTGTACCTCAAACATAAAAAAAAAACATGTTGAAAAGTAGTTGTTTGTAGTGGTCAATGCGCTTAGCTACGCCTAGATAGTTCACAGGCATGTCACTTAAACTGAAAGCAACAAATATATCAACTAAAAGGCTTAAAAATCCCAACTGACGGGAGGCAGACCAGTTGGATATTGACAAGCATGACCGAGAGGTTGAATTAGGGTCTACCGAGAGACAACTCCAGCTTAGTGGTCAGAGTGGAACTTGAACCTCCGATCTCTAGGATTTCAAGTCGCGCGCCCTAACCCCCAGAACGGTGCCTCCTTTAAACATACATTTACAATTGAACGCATACCTTTTTATGTTTGTTGTAACAGTTTCCCTTTGAGCCTCTTTGAGACAGAGTCCCTCGTCCTCCTGCTCGGAGACGGTCGCGAGAAAACTTTTGATCCTTTTGTCATAAGCTCACAAAAACTAATTTTTTCTCGCATCACGCCTAAACCGTTTGCTACCTTCTTGTCCCTCCCTGAGAAAAAGAGAATCTTTGTCTCAACTTCCCCCTTGGTGGTTGTTTCTGTGTCCTATAATTTTTTACGGAGCACCGAAGAAAGATGACAACAAACGAGTTTTACGTATAAAATCAGAAAGAAATTTTGCGATTACAAAGATCGTGCACTCAGCGCTGTCAAACGAACCCATTCCAGACACGCTAGCTGCTTCAGACCTACAGATTTTATGAAAAGGTACGTACCTGAACTAAACATCATGGACGTTTTCGTTTTTCTTCTTTTGACAGGTGTTGCTTATGCAGTGATCAAAATGGGTTTGGAGCTAGACAAACAATGAACACGGGACTCGTATACGGCAGTTTCAATGGATGTAAAATCAGTCTCAAATCGTCTGCGGTGTAATAAACACTTGGGCCATAAAACGCAGTGTTTTTGTTGTCTTTCTTGGAACTCATTTGTCTGCATACTATTTGATAGGAGCGACAGAGAACGACTTTGAAAGCTGAAATGACAAGTCACTTGAACTGAGAGAAATCGTTCTTTGAACTGACATAAAAGCGAGAATCCAACCTGATTCCCAGGGTCTCTGTTCTTCCCGTCCCTGTAGCGAGAGAGGGGGCGGATAGAAGAGAGACCCTGGGTACGAGGTTGGCCAGAATCCTGATAAGTCAGAAACTGGAATGGTGACAACGTATGACGTACGCTGGGATTGGTGGATCCGAAGGAGACGCGGCCTTCACCAAATCGCCTCAAAATTAAGCCCGAAATACCGAAAGTATTCCTCTTTTTCCTAAACAACCCCGCCTCTCCTTGATGGAACAAAAGGGGCCACCTTCTGTCCACCCACCCACCCCAACCTCGCTGTTTCTTGAGCAGGTAAGAGCCCCTCGTTCGTCCCCTCCGTCCCTCTTTAAACACCTCTGAAGTGATCATTGAACAAGAATCCATCTTTCAGTAGTCTTGCTGTGAAGGGCATTGTTTAGCTGTAATTCCAATCAGAATGTAGCAAATGCTGACCATAGCGTTGCCAGAGCAAAGCAAACGTTGTCTGTTTTAGAACAGTGAATTTTTACAAGCATCATGTCACTACCACAGCATGTATGGGTTGGTCAATTTGGACTGGATGTAATAGGTGTTCTGACCGCGCAAAAATCGAACCATGTTTATTTAAGAAAAAAACCTTGTGATCGTATCAGCTTCGAACAAGAAACTCAGATACCCACGATACTGAGACATTTCAAGCTTTATTATCTGATCAGAATATTTTATTTGGTTATTTATATTTCATATCGATTTGTATTGAAGTTCAGTATGAAATATTAAGCTCTGGGAACACCTGCCAATAGTGCGATTAAACGCACGCATTCCACTACTCTTGGTCCCACAGACGGCGCGCCAACCAAAACTTCATACCAGGGCTTGATTTCGGGTTTTTTAAAAATAATTTAATCTGGTGAAGTTTCGTTAAGTACGATAACTCTTCAAATGTCGTGATTTCCGCAAGAACAACAAGTTCACAATGACTCGTAAACTGTGTAACCGCACTACTTAACTTTCCGTGTTTTGTTTTTCAATGTCTGTGTCCCCGTTGAACCTTCTCGAATGTCAATAAATTTCTTCAGAGGAATAATTTAATCTCATATCCAGGCAAGATCAGGGTTAGCGCTCGGCAAAACGCACACACGGACTGCCATAGTCTTGTTATAAACCTGACCGCAAGCAAACGGTAAAACCAGAGGGGACTGGTGACTTGACCGCGACTCGGACGCGTTCACTTCTGCGCCCTCGTCCTCCTTGGTGTGCGGTTCTGGTGATTTCTCGTCCTTTTCGACGTACTTCATCAGTTTTATTCCCGGCATTGCTAGTTTCCCGCCAGTTTGCGGAATCACATCAAGTACAACGTCACTTGTTGCCATGACACCCTGTGGTATCTTCACGACACCGCTTTTCCGTCCACTGACAGCCCACGTGTTTGTATCAGAGTCGACGTCGTATAACAGTTGTGAAGTGTCAGGAGTTCCTTTTTCTGATAAACTTGTGAAGGTAATATGCCACTTACAAGCTGAGCCCGCGTACAGTTCCCTCGATTCACCCGAGGGCTCTACTCTTGAACTTATGGTGTATAATGTCTAGAACGGAAGAAGTTATTAAAGAAGAAAGAAGTATCACACCAAGGCAAAGTAGCAGAATATCTAAATTAGCTATCTATAGGTTATTGACCAAGCGTGAGGTCAAGATGGCTGGATACTGGCCAAGTTCTTTTTTCCACGTTTCAAAAATATTTGGCAAAGAAATAGGTCACGTACGTCTTTTTTTAAATTATTATTTTTGGTCAAGAATCAACTCTGAGAAACTAAAATGTTAATTGTACATTGAGACATTTTTCTTGCCCGTTAACACTGTATGAGAGTTTTTTTTTTTTAGAAGATAATTCAATCTTGATATTAAATCAAAAATTATCCCGAGCAATATTCAAGGTCACCTTACAATTTGAACTACGCTTGATCCTCGCGCATTCAAATATTATCCCCTACGGTCTTGCCACCGAGTCAATAGCAACTAATATTTACCTGAGTATTGACCACACTAAAGTCGTACAGGTAATTACTCTTCTTAGATGAGTGAAGTGAATCATCCTGCGGCTAAAAACGAAAAACGATTTAAACTTGTCAAAACTTGAGAACAAAAACAGCAGAGATGGATACCACTTGAGAAAGAATGGACAAAATAAGAAATACTTTGTGAAATGGTTCTTATGAAAATGGTTCAAATACACATAGCTCAACCGCGCTATCAGTCTGCAACAGTAAAATGTATGACTTAAATTGATGATTTTCCAAATAAAAAGTCACAAGACAAGTCAAACGATCACAAGTGTTGACTCCAATAATAATGCAATATGACTTTACAATCGAAATGTTTCACTCAATTCTTCAAACAACCAGGGAGATCGAGAGCAAAGTCTTATGTTATATATTCTTACCGTAACATGTTTGGGTGAAAACGAAGTCCGAAACTCGCAATCCAACTGCGAGGGTGAACCTGCGGATTACGAAAGAATGGTGGACTATTAATTTAAACCAACAAAGGTTGTCAGCTACTTTACTGCCTATAGAGATAAAATATTCTGGTTTGACCAACATCTGTCGGAGTAAAAAGCTTGGTTTTAAGAAATAAAACCTACGTTACCTTCTTCACTCTCGATTTTCCAAAGGAAGGACACATCTTGGTGATTTATGATCACCTAAAAGCATCAAATCAAAAAATAAGAAAAAACGTTTGAACAAATTACAGCTCCGTTACATGGTGATAACTCAGGGGAGTTAAAAAACAATACTCACGTATTCTGCAGTACTGTGCATTGATATCAGCTTCACTGAAGAGCAGTTTGTGATGATCAACTCCGGCGACGAAATTATCAGGTCTACTGGGTTGATTCCACTTACAATGACCTGAACAAAACGGCTACAAATCCAACAAACACAAGGTTAACTTTCAAGCTTAATGTTTAGAGTGTCGGCTGAGTCGTGTTCTGTAACTTTTCACAAAATTTACATGTAAAAAAAGCGTGGGAG